CTGTCCATTGTTCTTGTGCATCTAGGTTAACACACCTTTGAAATACCAGAAGTAACACTCCTGGGAGTATTAACCCTCAAGAAAGCACATAATCCTATTAACTGTCCTGCAATCCAATCCCTGCCTTGCTTTCTCCAACCTTTCTCACATCCTCTCCTTAATTTCAAATGCATAAAAGAAGATGCAAAACTATTATTCTCTAGAGCAGCAATTTTCAATCAGTGTGCCACAAGAATTTTTACAACATGCCATACCTGACTCTTTAGTCAGAGTCACTGACCTCTTCTCCCTTAGATTGTCACCAAAAAAAAAAAAAAAAAAAAATGACAACAGCCAACACAATAATAGTCATCTGGTGTGAATACTCTATTTTGAACCATAAATATATAGGTCATATAATATAGTTGCATCTTATTGGTCATGTCGCATAACAAGGTTGCATCTGATTGGTTAATTCTTGGTACCAGAAATCCTTATATACAAGTATAGGCACCTGATTTTTTTTTTTGGGGGGGGGGGGGTATATGCCCCTAGCGGGAACCGAACCCGGAACTCTCTGGTCTGCAGGCTGACGCTCCAACCGCTGAGCCAAACTGGCCAGGGCTGCACCTGATTTTTTTTTTAAGTCACTTGGGAGCAAAAGGGTAGGTAACTACTATTCTGGGAGGGGTAAATCAATCAAAAGTATACCTATATTTTTGTCAGATCAGCAAAAATATTTGTTTTGTTGTGCCACAGAATTTTAGCAATTAGTTTATATGTGCCATGAGACAAAAAAGGTTGAAAGTCGCTTCTCTGGAGCATTTGAGATCTTGCTCCCCAGCATACGTTTGCCTTAAAACACTCTTAAAAACATTCTCTACAGGTCTGGACGGCTCCACGCTGACAATCATTACCACTCCTCCATCTGTTTTCCTCCTTTTGAACTGCTATGTCCTAATTTCAGATATTCTGGATTGTCTTCATGTTTTTTTTATTTTCCTCATGGTTTTTTTTTAAATCACTTTTGTTCTATTTCAAGATCTCTCTTCCATTTGATCATGTATGTCACTAATACTAGTCTCAACAAAAACTATACTGTCCCTCAATTTGAAACAGGCAGAATAAAATGTTCCCCAAAATTCCCCCATCGAGTCAAGTGCTTACCAGGACTCTGGCAGTTATCAATAGGTAGTTATGAAACAATGGTCCAGGAACCACCCTGATTTCTTTTAAATTTGTTTTTCAGATCTAAAGCTAACCCATTAATCACAGGAACCAACTCAATACCTGGTTAGGAAAGTCCCTTCCTGCATCCTATAATAAATGCTGCACAGCCCAGCCGGTATGGCTCAGTGGTTGAACGTCAACCCATGTACCAAGAGGTCGCCAGTTCGATTCCTGGTCACAGCACATGCCCAGGTTGTAGGCCAAATCCCTAGTAGGGCGCATGCAGGAGGCGGCCAATCGATGTTCTCTCTCATTGATGTTTCTATCTCTCTCTCCCTCTCCCTTCTTCTCTCTCTAAAATCAATAAAGAAAAAAAAGTGCTGCACTATCCCCAAATGCTTTGCTTCGCTGGACATCAGTGTTCCAAAAAAGAAAAAGCCTAACCTACTCCCTGATTGGTTAATCCCAGCAACTTCCATGTTCCCAAGCCATAAAAACCCCTAAGCCCCACACATTTAAGTACAGAACCTGGTAACCTATCTCAGTGTTCTTGCCCTCTGCAGAGCCTCAATAAATCTGCCTTTGCTTTGATCAGTGTCCCTGGTCTAAATTCTTTTTTTTTTTTTTTTTTGGTACATGCCCCTAGCGGGAACCAAACCCAGGACTCTCTGGTCCGCAGGCCGATGCTCCAACCACTGAGCCGAACCGGCCAGGGCCTGAATTCTTTTATATCAGGAGATAAGAACTCAAACTCACTGTTAACAAATTAATCTACTGAGTCATTTTGAGTTAAAATCAGGTTCAAGGTGGGCTTTGGAGAAGGAACTACAAGTCAGATCCATTTGAAGGAAGTGACATTTGTAAAACCAGTGGGATTTTGACAAAAGGGGTTGTAACAAATGTGAGGAAAAGGCATTCAAGGTAAAACTACAAATGCAAAGGCACAGAGGCATGAGCAGTTCTGAGATATTTCTCCCAGCCATAATATTCTATTAATAGTGCTCCCTCTGACAGACTAGAAACAATGGAATCAACTAGGTATTCTATCACCAAAAAAAGAATTTATTCAGGAAAAAGAAAGGATTGAAATCCAGTGTGTGCAGAAATGGCAAACCATATGCACACACTGAACCAAACAAAGATGAAGGAGAGACTTGAAAAAGGAAAGCGGAAGTTAAAGGGAGAGGTTGTTGCAACCATAGAACTCTGTTATAAACAAGGTTCTTCCGTGGAGGGCTATCCAATGACATAAAGTGCCAGAACTATTCCCATAAGCCTCAGTTCCTCCCACAGACCCTCCTGGCTACGTCCAAGGTTAAAGTTTCTGTCATAATTTTATCACTCTCTTTGGTCTAGAAAGAATATCAAAACTCATTTAGGAAGCAGCGTGGCAGGAAATTGGCAAAGAATTGTTACAGGTTGTTAAGCCTTACATGGTCAACAGAGAGTTACCATAGACACGCCTTACTGTAGAATTGTTCTAGATCTAGAGAGAGATAACTATTTTGTGATGATTCAGGAAATGCTTATGAGTCCCCTCTCCTCCAGCACCAACTTGAAATACAGAAGGTATTTGGGCTCCCAATAAGCTTTGTCTGGAGTCTATCAAGCGGGAGCTGTACTACAAGCTGCTGTATTCTCCCAGGGTCTGCTCAGGGCCCTGCTTACCTCAATGCCCCTTGCTATTCAGGGCTGGGCGGAGAAAGGCTGCTGAGACAGCCTCAAAACCCACCTCTCTGTCATCCAGTGACTCCACAGCTAAGCAGAGGGCACCTTAGGGTCAGGGAGGCTCAGGCTGGGGTGGACATCAGCCCACCTCCTACTTGCCCTGGAGGCCTACAAAGCTATTGTTGCCAAGACCCCACCCCTTGCCCTACTCGGGTAATGCATTTGGTTAGAGCATTGTCTCTATATACCAAGGTTGTAGGTTTGATCCCCAGTCAGGGCACATGGGAGTTAACCAATGAATGCATAAATAAGTGGAACAACAAACTGATCTCTCCCTCTCTCTCTGTCAAAATAAAAAAAGATTTCACCCCTTTGCTCACAGCTCAAAAGAATCAAACTCCCGAGGTAGCTCTCCCTTTCTTCTCTAGTCTTTGCAAAACCAAAAGGTAAAAATTTTCTGTCTTCCCCTCCTGAAAGAGCCAAGCTTTTGGGTTCTGAGGCCAAGTTCTCTTACCTCATGGTGAGTGTATAAATAGCTCTTAGTATTTCAGGGCCAAAACTTCTGCCTTGGAAAATTCGTTTCTTAAACTAATGAAAGGTAGTATCTCCAGAGGGAAACTATATACTGATGCTTGAGGTTGAAGTGAGGGATGACCCACCCTTCCACCACCCCACACTCCTGCCAGCCAGTGGATTCCTTGCGACCGGGAGGGGAGTTCTGTAGGCAGAAACTGTGGGCAGATTCCTGCAGATGTCCCATGCAGTATCTGGAGCTGGCAGAACTCAGCTGGCTGCACAAAAGGACTCGGTGCCTCAGGAGCAGCTGAGTGGATCCCCAAGTGGGGCAACTAACAGCTCAGGCAGAGGAGGACTAGACAGTGAAGAGCCTGTGCTCAAGTAGGGGAAGTGACCAATTTGGATTGAACACCAGGACCTCCCAATCTGGGTAGAGGAAATCCTAAAAATTGATGGTAGATTTTTCAGCCAGCTTGATGAATGGAGGCTGGAACCAGAATTTATTTATTGAAATGTATTTGATTTCAATAAATAAACAAATATGACATATGCTGGCCCAGGAATGGTATAGAATAAATTCATACCATTACATATAGCCAAAACCTCACCATAATAAGGCCACACTCTGGGCCTGACTGGCATCCAAGGTCCAGTCTCCTTTCCTAATATCTCTCCACTGTTCCTCTCCACTGGAATGAGACTGGATAGTCCCACTGGGCATCTAGGTTCTAGTTCAAGCTCAACCCCCAACTCAAAAATCACTTGCTGCATCTGAGCATCTGTTATGTGTAATTTTTTGTGGCTCATTCCCAGTCTCCCCCCTAGTCACACCCTCCTGCCTCCTGTTGTCCCCATCACCTGGACCACCTTCCTACCTGTCAGATTGTAATCCTATCAAACGCATCACTCAAAAACACTCATGACAAGCCTTTTCTCCCTCAGCACATACGACAGCGACCACAGTTCAGTATTTTGATTTCTAACTGGGTCCAGTGTCTCATATACTTGGAGGGAAAGCCCCTCTTGTAGGCCCCTCCCTCCGCCCCCATACACACACTGAGCTGATCTAATGAGAGAAAAGCTTGTTAACAGATCGCCCAGGGAAGGGGTGGAACTAAACCTGCTCATGGAAGGGACTTGTCACGAGCTGGCCACTGACAACCTGGGCGATAGGAACTGGGGAAACTTTCATTCCAACCTGGCTCTGCCAATAACCCCCTCTGCATTTGTGCAAGTCCTTCTCCAGCCCCTCTGAGGCTCCTTACCCACAAATCAATGAATTTGAACTGTAAGCTCTTGGTCATCACTCGGCGATTCCAAAGTCCTAACCCTAGTATCCTATCGGTTCTCATGCCTGCATTTTAGGGTTCTAATTGTCAGATGATCTGGAGATTCTGTGGCCCGGAGCAAAGCTCCTCTAGTGACCCAGTGCCACGATAGCCTTCCAAGACTAACCTCTTTCGTTTCCCTTCCTCCCCTTGGCCTCACCTGACTCAGAAAGAGCACGGAATGCATTTAGGCAAGAAGAGGTTCCGAAAGTTACAAACCTGCGCTGACCACACACCTGCACTGCCCGCCACCTGCCCCTCCGCGCACATCCAGGCAGCTGAAAGTGCTCCTGGGGGTTCTCCCACCCAGCGATCCCGGTACTCCGACCCCACCGTCACCTGGAGCTGGAAGCGCTGTGCCGCCTTGTCCATGCTTTCCAGGGCCGCTTTCCGTCTCTGTTGCGCCCGGGCCACTGCACCTCGCGCCGTCCGGCGACTGGACCAGCGCAGGGCCATGGCCGCCGCTACGAAGCAGCAGGCCAGGGCAGCCCCGGAGGCGCCAGAGAGCGCGGCCCACAGTTCGTCCAGCACCATGATCTCCCGCCGCCCAGAGCTACCGTGAGCGATAGAAGCAGCAGCTCTCGGGGATTCCGCCGCAAAACGCGGCCTGGATCCGCCGGGGATCCGCGCCCCGCTCTGTAGGAGGAGCCGGAGAGCTGCGCTGCTGCAGGCCCGCTCGGGAGCGCGCCGTTGCCGGGCAACGGGCCCGAGGCTGGCGGTGCGCAACGGTCTGAGCTGCGTCGCTCCCCGTGTCCTCGTGCACTAGGTCAGGCTCAGCTGGAGGGGCAGCTGCTTCTCGTGGGCGTCCTCAGAAGCACGAGCGTAGCAGCGGTTTGGCACGGCGGCATGGCCCGGCCCAGCCTCAGCCCCGCGCACCCTAGAGCCCCAACTCCCGGAGGATGCGGACAGCCGGAGCCCCGGCGGGAAAGGCCAGCCCAGAGAACTAGGAGCAGAAACAGACTGGGCTCGCGGACCTGACTAATCGCTGCAAACAGTTTAGCGGCATCTTTCCTGGAGAACCTTGCATCAAGGCTGACACCATAGTACGCCCACTTCTCCCCCAGCGAGAGGCTTTGGAGTTGCGGGGGCGAGGCGGAGAGATAGCCCTCGGACCCTCCACAGGAAGTTCTTCTGGGGGGTCCACCTGCTGCCCCTCCTCATTCTCCAACCCTGGGCTCTTCTTCATGATCAAACTGTCCATCACTTGTCCTTCTGTTCAGCCACCCCACAGACTGATCTTCCCAGGCCATCTTTTAACAGTCCTGGGCCCCTTCTGGAATTTACACCCAACAGGCAGAAAGTATGTCTGACCAAGAGGAGTCTGGGCACCTGGTGCCCTTCATTAGTGGGGTGAGGGATTACACACACATGTGCACACACACAATATTAATTATAAAAATGCTGAAGCACTTCACTACAGGTTTTCCACAATGTCTACCTCATTGAAACACTACAACTGGACAGTTCTAAACAGAATTTGCTAGTAAGGTTTGCATATGTATTAATTATACATTATGTCCAAGATTAATCCATGCATAAAATTTGGGGTTTAGGTTTCATTCTTTGAAGGCATACACAGGTGAACTTGGTGGAATGTTATCTTCTATAAAACGTTATACTTTATTGCCATTTACTGGGTGCTCCCCATCTAGGCCTCTCACAGGACTTCATGTGCTTTATCTCATTTATCCTCCCAACAGACCTATGAGGAAGGCATTTTTATTATGAATTTATAAATGAGGTACCCTACTGGGAATCGAGCCTGCAGCAACTTCTCAACCCCCACCCCACTGCACCCCACCACCAGGAATGGAACCAGCAACCTCTCAGTGCATAAGACAACACTCAACCAACTGAGCCACCCCAGCCAGGGCTCTACCTTAGTTCTAGCCTGCATTTCTCCCAAGACCTTCAGATGAATAGCTCCTGTCATAGATATACTAATTATTAGAAAACCAGCTAGAGGCTTGAGCTTTTGGCAAAGATGTGTAGGAGCCTCAAGACAGGATTCAGATCAGCAGGGTTCAGGACCAGGGCACAAAGAGATTTAGAGATTTCTCCCTCTTCTTTGGATCCATGCTGGCACCTGGGTGTCACACACCTCTTGCCACAAGTATTCTCTTCTCCCTTCCCTTGACATAAAAAGTTTAAATTCTGAGCTCCCTTAATATGGCTTTGCAAAACCTTTAGGCTCCCCATCTTCTTCTTTTTTTTTTTTTTTTGTATCCTCACCCGAGGACATTTTTTTGATACTTTGTTCAGATAGAGTGGGAGGGAGAGAGAGAGAGAGAAACATCGACGTGAAAGGGACACATCGAGTAGTTGCCACCTGCACAACCCAACCAGGGCCGGGGACACACTGCAACTGAGGTACGTGCCCTTAGTGGGAACCGAACCTGGGTCTCTCAGGACCACAGGCTGACGCTCTAACCGCTGAGCCAAACCGGCCAGGGCCTCCCCATCTTCTTGAGCTGGCACTTTCTCCATCAATAAACTGTTTCTTACTGCAAACTCTGATGTCTTGAATATTGGCTTTTTTTTTTTTATCCTCACCCGAGGACATTTTTACATTTATCTTCAGATAGAGCAGGAGGGAGGGAGGAGGGGGAGAGAGAGAGAGAGAGAAAGAGAGAGAGAGAGAGAAAGAAACATAGATGTGAGAGAAACACATCAACTGGCTGCCATCCACACGACCCCAACCAGGGCTGGGGACAAGCTGCAACCGAGGCACGTGCCCCTAGTGGAAACCGAATCCAGGACTCTCTGGTCTGTGGGCCGATGCTCTAATCGCTGAGCCAAACCGGCCAGGGCTTGAATACTGGCTTTCTAGCATCAGGCACACAAACCTTGAATCAGGAACAGACTGAGTCTAATGTTCAGGTCACAGTGGATGTTAACTCCAGTCCTCTGAGAGAGGATCCCAAGATAATTCACCTCTGGCATTCTGTAGTTCAACAGGTATCTACAGACTCCTGCTGTGAGCTGGAAAAACTGAGGCATGTACCAGATCTCAAATCTAGCCTTGTGGAGCTTAAGGTCTGGTTGGGAAGGAAAAAAAACATGCATAGACCAAGAAACAAAAGCCATGCTTTGGTCAAAAGGCAGAGATCATGCTACATGAACCCAAAGAGCCTTGGATGCTGGGACCTTGGCCTGAACAGCCTTGGGGAAGCCAGATAGCACAGTTCAAAGCTTGGCTCTGAAGCTGGAGTATTTGGTAATCCATCTTTGTTTTGTGACTGTGCCCCAATTTCCTTACCTGTAAAATTAGGATATTATATATTAATAATATTAAACCCAAATCTCTAGTACTATTGTAAGAATCAAATACTTAACACATGTAACACAGCCAGAACAGGGCCTAGCATATAGTAAGCAATCCATATATATCAACCACTATATTATTTTTATTTGAATAACAGAAATCTACAGAGGGGTTTTCTGGCCTGAGAATTCTATCACAGGAGCCAGACTGCCTGAGTTCAAATACTAACTTTGCCACTTACTGTGTAACCTTGAGTGAAGTCACTTTAGCCTCTTGTACCTGTTTTCTCATCTGCAAAATGGGGGATAATAATAGTGACTACCTCAGAGAATTGTGAAGATTAAAAAAGAGCAGCACCTGGCCCATGATAAGGGCTCAATAAACATTAGCTCATTATTTCTAAGCAGAAATGTGATACAATCCTACCAGTGTTTTGGGAAGGCAATGAGGAAGAGGATTTGGGAGAGGCAAGCTGGAGGCAGAGGCTAATGGAATGAAAGAGCAGGATGATGCAAGGATTCAGTGGGGATGGCTTTCCAGGGCTCCACCTGTGTTATCAGAAAAGTATCTGTAACTCAATACCACACCAGACTATGAGGCTGAACAGCATATACCTGCACTCAGGTGGTACATGTAAGGAAGAGTTACTCTTACCTTTAGTCCCACCAGCAGCCTGGTGGGTTCCTTGAGCAGGATAAGGTTCTCCCCCATTAGCTGCTAACTCTGAACAACTCATCCTAATGTGCCCTCAGCTGTCAAATGGAAAGACAAGTACTACCTTGCCAAGTTTCCTTAGAAGTGGGGTGGGGCTACAAGGAGTAGGAGGAAAGCTTGCAGAAGGGAGCTTCTCAGATTCCAGAGGGTTTGAAGTCTGTCTTTGTTCTGGGGATGAGAGAACAGTGTTTTACCTCTGTTCTCAGTAACTGCTCTGCTCCTGTTTTCTTTCACTTCTGTGAGGCTCTCTTCAGTACTGAAAGGGAGGTCAGGAAGGGTATAAAACCCTGCTCCAAGGAACTCACAGTCACACAGGTGAGGTAGGACACCACACCCAGAACCACTACATGTGGGGCACTTTAGACTTTTCAAAACACTGTCAGGTTTTTTACCTCAGGCCCAAGTCCCACTACCACCGCAGAGGCCCCCTACTACCTCTGAGTTAGAGTTTGTCTCCTGTGGTAAATTGACTACAGACATGATCCCAATACTCCTCCTCTTCCTATACCTGTGCTCTTTACAAAATACCTTTGTAGCTTCTCCTTCCAGAAGGTGTAGTCTATTTTCCCACCCATGAATCTGGACCAACCTTTGTGACTTGATTTAACTACTAGAAAGCAGTGCAAGGAATTGTGCTGGTTCTGAGCCTAGGCTGCAAGAGAATTGTTTGCTCTCTTTTTTCTGAAACCCTGCCTCAGCCATGAGAACAAGTCTAAGCTAGTCTGTCTGAGGATGAGGCCACGTGGAGTGGAACCTACTCAGCAGTTACCCCTGCTCAGACCCTTCCTAACATGGATGAAAGTGCCCAGCCAAGATGAGCAGAGACCTGATTGCAGATACTTGAATGAGCCTAGCCAAGCCCAGCTTATCTTCGCAGAACCACCAGTAAACCAGTAAACTTAGAAAATAATAAATGAAGAGTTCCAAGGTTAGAGTGGAAGCTGTAAGGCCTCTTAAGGCCTAAGATTAGAACTTGAAAAACATTGGTTCCACCAAATTCAACAGGAAAGAGAGGACCAGAGTTCCCTGAGGGAAATCTACCTAGGGTAGGCATTTTTAGACAAAGAAATTCAGTCCATCTCTAGTCAAAATTTGAATGTTCTTCAGAGGGATACTTAATTGCTCTACAAAAGCCATCTTTAGTTTGCAGAATTAATCCCCAGGTGAGTTCTTTAAATAACATGGATATGTTGGGATTTGAATTACAACCTATCAAGAATATATTCTCTGTGAAATATGAGGTAAATGTGCAATAATATCCTACCAGTGCTTCTCAAGAAGAGAAGCATGCACTTTTCTGCATGTCAATTTTCAAAAACTGGTTTGCCACCTATGAGATGTTGTCTCCCACACCTTTAAGAGCTTATGGCATACAAACTGACTCCACACTCACACTGATGTCACCAGATCCAAGTAAAAAGAACTACTTTTCAGAATTAAAATAAAAATGTCTCCCTAGCCCTGGCCAGTTTGACTCAGCGGTTAGAACGTTGGCCCGCAGACCAGAGAATTCTGGGTTCGGTTCCCACTAAGGGCACATACCTTGGTTGCAGTTTGTCCCCAGCCCCGGGTGGGGTTGTGTGGGTGGCAGCCAGTCAATGTGTCTCTCTCACACTGATGTTTCTCTCTCTTCCTCCCTC